GATAGACTAAAGGAGGAGAGGAGTTTAGCTACGTATTTTCTTTCTTCACTGAAAGAGGGTCGCTTGTTTCAAGTTCTTGAGGACCATCTAGTGTGTGATGGAAATGCTGAGCAGCTCAAGGAAGTTGCTTAGATTGCAAGGAGGTGCTTAAACCTGAAGAGGGAGGAGAGACCTTCTATGAAGGAAGTAGGAATCGGACTAGAGGGACTAAGGATGGTAGAGAAACATCGATGGGTTGGCATAGCATTGAATTTGGAGGAGACTGAGCCCTTGCTTGATGAGAGATCAAATACCAACGAATATGGTGGTAGTAGTGCTACAAATGCCAAGTTTGATAGCCTAAGGGAACATGTAATATTGCCTATCGATGGTGGGAGATGATTGTTTCGTCTTGATTTTGCCATGTTAGCATCTGAACCTTTCAGGACATGGAGCTAGCCAAATTATCTGAAAACTGGCCTACGTCCATGAATGAGAAGACATTCCACTATGATTCGTAAAGATATTACAACAATAGAGTACCAACACTTGGTACATGTCTTTTCACCATATATCACTCCATGAGCTTATCTCCCCGCTAACAGTGTCATCGTTGTTTTTCCTACTCTACCAACCCGCATACTACTTCTACCCATCAACTCCCTCATGAGACTACATCTCTCTCAATCTCATAATTCTCAACCCAAAGCCTATATATCTATTTATAGAGTTCCAAACTCAATTCCTTGTTGGACAAGGATTACAATTTCTTAGAAGCCAAGACTTGCCAAACAAGAAATTAACAAACAGAATACAACTCTAAAATAAAAACAAAATTAGAATAGGAATTTGAGACACAAATTCCAACAATCACCACCTTGTCTCAAATTCTATCCGGTCAATCATCGTTTCCACGGCATTAATGAGGACAATTCTTTTGCAGCTTCAATCTTGACAAACCTCCTGCAAAACTCCGATTATCCACACTCTACGCTGCTCGATCAGTCAAACCTCCAAGGCTCCACCTTGACTACTCGAGCTCTATGCCATGTAACCAAGCTGATTGACTACACCTAGAACTGAAGCCCGTTGCAACACATGTTTCGTGTGTCGGAGATATAAAACGAGTACACCGGAAAAGAATGGGAACTGGGTCGATCTATTCTATGGCGAAGCATCTGAAGCATAACTGCATACTCACACGATCTTCGCCGAGAGATAGGAGCATTCGGTGGAACCGGTGAACTACACTTGCTTCTGGATAGATGTGTGGGACAGAGGGCTCGTGGTACCTGTTGTCCACCCTTCCTCCTCTGCTTTGAGAATCGTGTGAATGGAAAGTAGGCAGAAGGGAAGAAGGTCCTCAGTAGGAGTCGCACACTAACTTGAGCAGTGCGGGAGACTGGGGAATGGTTCGAGTAAACTCCCATGGGTCCGGCAAAATCACAAACAAACCTTCAACAAGAAGAGTTGCTGTTAACAAAGAGCCTTCCGTTTCAAGTTAAAACCTAGAGTAATATACCAACCATATACAAATATATATAAATAATTGAGGCATACTTCGATTCATACAAACATTGAAGAAGAAAGAGGCATACTTCTATTCATACAGACATTGAGGAAGAAAGAGGCATACTTCAATTCATACAAATATATAGAGACATTGAGTCATACTTCGATTCATAATTCATACTCGGGGCTTTACGGCCTTTTGATACCTTTATGAAAGGTAGGTTGATACTTGATACAGAACTTTCATTTGTGAGAGGGACTGAAAAATTCATATGGTAAAAAATTGCTCTTCAAGCTTGACTTTCATGTTTCTTGGGATTGGCTTTGGTCCTTGATTCATCGGCCAAGTTCATCTCTCTCTGTAAATAGAGACAAAAAGTCTCTTTCTTCCTCCATGTATATATTTCACTCTTAGCAATCTATAATTTGATTCATTCTTGGTTACCAGCATATTCTTTTTGCCTTCATATCCTTTTTGTCTTCAATTTTATTTTGTCTAGGTTTGCTTATGAAGCTGTGGGTTTATAGTTTATACAGGTAATATATTTGTGTATATATATTATATGATTTAATTTGATGAGGGTTATGAAAAAAATCTCCATAGTCTGGGCTAAGGCATAATAATAAAAGACCAACTTACACATCTCTCCGATGACGGTCAAAATTGATTGGGAAATAGGTGAACTTGTATGTAAAGCGTTGTCTTTGTTTCAATATTTCAATTTATCGAGACACTATAGAAAGAAAGAAAAATTATTGAAGAAAGAATTTATAAAATGAGTTAAATATATATTATGTTCAAAAAATAGAAAAATAGTAATTATTTAATTGACGGTAAGAATGACTTACTTATAGTAGAATTAAGTTTGCTCACGCAATGAGTGTTTTGGACCATTAACTCGTTCATGTGGTTTACTAAGTTTCTTAAACCGTCAAATGGTTTTTGCAATCTATTATTATTTTTATTATTATATATGGGGTATGGATAAATTTTATTATATTGAATAGTTTATTCGTATATATTTAAAAAGAGTGGTATAAAAAAAAAGTTAAACTACTTTAGGTTGACAAATGATAAAATAAATAAATAAATAATAAAATCTTTTAAGGGAAAAATAGTTATATTAGTAGTAGAATAACTTTAATAAATGTTTTGCCAAACAAACAAAAAAAAAAAACTCTTCTAGGATTAAAAGCTCTTCTAAGATACAGTTCTCAAACACTAACATATAAGCCAAATATAAGTGATAGCTTCTACTTATCTTTTTCTTCTGCGTAAAGCAGAAGTAAAAGTTATGCCAAACGGGACCAACATCCACAGATGAGAAGAGCTTCCACTATAATTCATAGAAATATTACAACGTCAGAGTACCAACACCACACACGTCTTTTCACCATGTACCACTACATGAGCCTATCTACTCCCTACTAGTGACCCTTGGTCTTTTCCTTATCCTACCAATACATAAACTATCTCTATTCATCAACTCCCTCATGAGACTAAATCTCTCTCAATCTCATAAGTCTCAACACAAAGCCTATGCATTTATAGAGTTCCAAACATAATTCCTTGTTGGAGAAGGATTACAATTTCTTAGAGACCAAGACTTGCCAAACAAGAAATTACCAAACAAAATACAACTCTAAAATAGAAACATGATGAGAATAGGAATTTGAGACACTAATTCCAACAATAATAAAGTGCGTAAAAGACTAAACCAAGGGCCTATGAACTTTGGGTTTATTTGAAACAATTTTTTTTTAAAATTTAATTATTTTTTTTTAAAAAATAATAATAATAATTCAAATTGTCCCTCATACACAATGGTGGTGTTCTACTGTCTCTAGGGATGAAGCCGGGATTTCATTTCAGGGGCACAATGTGCTTGATTAAAAAAAATAAAAATTTAATCAACAAACATAGCAAATATAGATTGTTCAAATCACAGGCAAATTGAGTATTTGATGTTAACTAACAAAGAAGATGAGAGTTCAAGGGGAATAACCAAAACAAGCAGACAAATAAATTTATTAGTTAAAAAAATTAAACCTGACCAAGTGGCATTGTCTTTAGCATTCCAATTCAATTCTGCTAACTGCAAAAGAACATATAATTCTCACTCAACTTCAAAATATAATAAAAACGATGGACACCCAATATTATAAAACATAAATGGACAATGTAGCATCAACCAAGAATTCCAAAATTCCAAGAAAGTATACTTTTACATAGAAATAAAGCTCTTTTTCAGTAAAACCCAATTGTTAGATATGTGAAAAAAATAATAATAATAAAAATAAAATAAAATTTTAGATATACCTTAACTATGACAGGAAAATTACAGCTATGTTAATCATGAAGTGTGGCAAAAAACTAAGCAAAGAAGAAAAAGTGCAATAAAATCATTACATAAAATCAAATCACTTTCTTAACATCAATAAAAATATTCGGTTAGGTCACTGAGAAAGGAAAAAAAAAATCATTGTAGAAAAGAGAATATTTAGCTCTCTTTATGTTCTCCCTGTCTCTCCATATATATATTTATATATATATATATATATATATATATAATCTTTTAGAAGTAAAATTCAATGGCCAAATCAAAGATTTAAATTTGAGAAAACCTCGGTGGTAGGTAATTTTGTTAGGGATAGTCGTTAGTAAGAGTTTGTACCATACTCAATAAATCAATCTTATTCACTAGACCCTGCATTCATCTAGAATGAGGGTTACTAACATAGTTAATTTCTATTTCATATGCAATCCAATTTCTGAGTTTGCAGTGGTAAACTCAGAATTGATAAGAGGAAATGAGACAAAGAGGTTGGGCTTCGACAAAAAAAGAGTAAAAAATTTTGAAGGAAAAAAAGAAAAAGACTTTTAGAAATGATAATTTTAGGGTTTTTGATTTGAAGAGACAGAGAACAAGAAAGAGAAATGGGAGTAATAGAAGATGTACCTGTGTAGTCGTAGCCGATTAGAAACATTCCTAGGGGTCGCCATTGTCGTATTTCGGCCGTCGATATCTAGCACTTTCCGTCAAAAGACTCAAGACACCGGAGAGCGATTGGGGAAACAATGAACAGACGCTTTCTCTCCGAGTTTGAATATACATTTTATTTGCTAATTGAGGGTGCATCATGAGACTTACACCTTCAGTAATCTAACGGTTAAAAAATATCTCAAGAAAAGCACTTTGTATTATCACACTGCTAAAAAGCACTTTCATTTCAAAAAATTGCGCCTTTAAGGCTTGTTTGGAAGGCCAAAATGTTTTTGGTTTTGGTGTTTTGGTTTTGGGTCCACATCTCGTTTGGTGTGGGCTGATATGTTTTTGAACAGGTCCATATCATTTTGAGATTTAGGGCAAATCCCATATCACAAAAATGGTGATATTGGGCGTTTTCAACACTGTAGCGGCCATACCAAAAGCCCAAACCAAAAACAGCCTATCCAAACCAATATCAAGTTATACTGTAGCGGCATATCACATATAAGACCAAATTTTATAAACCCTAGCTCATTTCTGCAGAATATTTCTCTCTCTTCGTTTTTGCACTCCGGAGGCGACTGAGGGACGATTCCTTTGAAAAGAAGGTTGGGTGTTGTCGAATTTTTTCAATTATGCCATACACACCACCGATCTAGCAGAGCTCCTCCACCAACTACCTCCTTCCATTTGCGCCTCTCATCTCTTTATATTCTTGCAGATCGGGGTTGGTAGTCTGCAAATCTTTCAAAAAGAAAGACCAATTTCAACTCGGCATCAGCTTTCCTATCGTTTCTCTCTACTCTCTGAAACCCTAGCTCAGTGGCCAGCACATCGAAGGTATTTCTCTTCTCTTTGAAACCCTAGGTCGATATTTTTGCCTTTATTGTTAAAATTTCTTTCATTTTAGCTGTTATATATCGCATATACCTCTTATTATCTGTTCGCAACCCATATTTCTGTACAAGCCGTTCAGTCTGTGAGACGTAACCTTGGTTTTAGGCACCAGAACAGTAAAATAAGTGGTTCTCTGAAACCCTAGGTCAATATTTTTGCCTTTATTGTTAAAATTTGTTTCATTTTAGCTGTTATATATCGCATATGCCTCTTATTATCTGTTCGCAACCCATATTTCTGTACAAGCCGTTCAATCTGTGAGACGTAACCTTGGTTTTAGGCACCAGAACAGTAAAATAGGTGGTTCTCTGAAACCCTAGGTCAATATTTTTGCCTTTATTGTTAAAATCTGTTTCATTTTAGCTGTTATGTATCGCATATGCCTCTTATTATCTGTTCGCAATCCGTATTTTTGTACAAGCCATTGAGTCTGTGAGACGTAACCTTGGTTTTAGGCACCAGAACAATAAAATAGGTGGTCTTATGAACCAGTAGTCTACGTGCCATAGCAGAACCATAGTATCTTTTAACTGTATATGCAATTTGTTAGGAAAAAACCTTACACACTATAAGCGTATAGTTCATGTAAAGACAACTGAAGAGCTCAGTCTAAACCAAATTACAGGTAGTATTAATTTTATAATAGATATGATTACAGATTGGAATAAATAATTTCAATTGACTGAAAATACATCAATTTCAATAGATAAGATTCTTGATTTCTTTGCTTGAATGTCTTGATTATAAATGTTAATCAAAATTGGTTAATAGATCCATATAAAGTTGAATAAAACAGCTCCAAAATTGGGGATCTAATAATTTTTTCCCTTTTTGCAATGTAATGATCTGTATTGAAGAATAGCTATAACACTCAAATGTTTTAAAACTATTATCCTTTTTCAGTAACGAATATGAATACATCATGCGAATAGAAAAATTTTATCATTATTAATTATATATCGGCATTGTATTAATGGAAGTTGAGTCTATATATGCCGTTAATTGTAAATTTCGCTTTAGGATCTAATTGGCATCTGATATATATAATTTTAAGAAGAAAATGTCATGAAAACTTGACTGTGTGTCACTCATATGATTTATTGTTCCTATTTTGTTTTAATTTGGGGGCTCTATTTCAATTTTAATTTGTGATATAATTGTGTGTCACTCATATGATTTATTGTTGTGTCTATATATATATATATATGCATGTTTGATGTTGTTAAGTCTGATTAAGGCTTGAAAAAGCCTCTCCTATTGTTGAAATATTTGTGTAACATATTGTGGGGGGTTGACACAAGACCAATTGATGTCGGGAACACATTTATATACATGTTGAATAAAAATTAGTAATAAACATAGGCAAATACGTTGTAATAAACTTAGTAATTTCAATTCATACACTTGTTTTGTGCTTGTGTCTGGGGGGCTCATATTTAATATCACAATTGACATATTTGGAGTTCAAGGTTATGTTAGATTTGTCTCTAAAACATTTAACAAGGCATGTTTTGTTTCATTAGTCAATAAAGACTTGTATCATCTGAACATGTTTTAAGGGTTGGGACTTCCTTGAATTTTTTTTTAATTTTTTATTTATATTTTTAATTCTTATATAATATAGTAGCATTAAATTATGACTTAAAAATTAGAATTATATAAACAATTTACTAAACTGTTAAATTTACTTAATAATAATCAGATGGACATGAACAATGATAATGTTGACCAATATCCATAAAAAGACATTCATTCTCTTGATGCTGAGAATGGTGAGGACCCGATGCCGCTGTTTGGTGTGATGCCCATCAAGAGAAATTCATGCTCTTGATGGAGGAAGAGGTTGGAAAAGGAAATCGTACAGGCACGACTTTTAATCCAATTGGGTAGACACATATTATGGACGTAATGTTGGTGGAAACTGGAAAGAAGTACACGAAGGACCAATGCAGACAAAAATTCAATAATATCAGAGCACTGTACAAAGATTGCAAACAAATATTATCTGAGATTGGTGTAGGGTACAACAGTGAAACTGGGATGATTGAATTGGAAGCTGAAAGATGGGTTTGATTGTGCAATGTTAGTATTTCAATACGTGTCTATTTACCATACATAGAGTTACTAATTAGTGATTTAGTATTAAAAGGGTTTGATGAACAATAAAAAAACAGGACTGTAAGAATTATGAGCAGATGGTAAGGATTTTTGGGGATACACATGTTACTGATTAGCATATTCATCCTTCTACTAAAGCACCCAAACCTCACGAAGTGCTAATAATGTCTCAAGTGGCAACACATGAAGCTGCAATTCATAACATTGAGGGCAATGCGGACATAACTGATGTAGAACGACCTAATGTAGAAGGACCTATTGACCTTAGTCCTATTCCCAAACCTGTAGCTAAGAAACTTAAGAAAGAAAGTTTTGCCTCCACAATGTCTTAAGTGATGGCATGTTTGACTGATATTGGGAACGCAAAACCTGATAAAATTGCCAAAGCCATAGTAGAATCATCTTCTAGTTGTCAACCATCTATTCTTAAAGAAGTGCCTGAAGTGACATCTCCCAGTAAAAAAGAAATGGATCCCTAGCTTAAGGAATGCCTTAGGATCGTCAACACATTAATGGGGATTGATGATGCCCATTATGCTAAGATCATAGGGATGTTTGGTGAGGACAAGGTGTGGAGGGGCATATTTCTTTGCATTCCTGATGAGAGGAAGGTTTGGGTAGGTGATGAATTAGCCTCTCTGATATGTTCGCTATTTTACTTTTATGTACTTTTGGATGACTGTTTTATAACTCTTTTTACATTACTGTTGGATGATTGCATTTAATTTTCCTTATCTACTACTTTTACATTATTGTTGGAAGCTGTATTTAATTCCTCTATCTACTACTTTTAAATTAATGCTGGATGACTATTTATCTTCTATATCTATTATTTTTACATTATTGCTAGATAATGGTATGATTTGGTTTGTCTTTTATCATTTTTGTATTGTTGAAGAATAACTGTATTATTTGCTATATATTTTTCCATTTTCCTTATATCATGAAGTTGTTTAATTTTTATTTCTTTTTTCTGCTTCTGTTTATTCTTAAATAGGATAGTAGATATGGATATAAGGACAATATTAACCATGTATGATGATGATGATGATAAGGAAATTCTTATATTGATCGCAGCCGTATATAAGTACTATCATAAACATTTTGATAAGTAACATTGTAGGGATTCTATGTTATAAAGGGGAAGATTACGTATTTGAGATTTTAAATGGACATGAAGATATGTGTAATGAAATTTTCGGATGTACCCCAATACCTTAAGGGCTTTGAATCGTGAGTTGAAATTGTTAAGATTGAAAGATTCAACATTTGTAACAGTAGAAGAACAAGTTGTAATTTTCTTACTTACTGTGTTTCACAATGAAAGGAATCGTGTCGTTGCTGAAAGATTCCAACACTCTACATCCACAATTTCATATCACTTTCATGCCGTCTTAAAGTTAATTTGTGAGTTAGGGACTAAGATTATTGTTCCCCCGGATTTGAATGAAATTCCTACACAGATAAAGAACAATCCAAAGGTTTACCCATACTTTAAGAATTGTGTAGGAGCCATAGATGGTACTCATATCCATGCTGTAGTGCCAATTGGTCAACGTTACCACATGCAGGAATATCGTAGACATACTAGAGGACCACGTGGTAAAGAAGAGGTGTACAATTTTAGGCACTCGTCATTGAGGAATATCACAGAGTGATGTTTTGGGTTGGTAAAGATAAGATTCACTATATTGAAGCAAATGCCCCCTTATCACTTTGACACTTAAGTTCTTATTGTTATTGCCTATTGTACATTGCATAATTTCATAAGATCCCAAAGTGAATCTGATGAAATTTTTTGTTATGAAAACCCTGAATCTTCTATTTCACAAAATGAACCTGATGTGGAGGACATTATTGAGGTCGTTAGTGGTACTAATACACAGATGCGACAAATGGATATTTATCGTGATCGTATTGCCAACCTAATTTGGGAGCACTGTAATAACTAATTATAATAGTGTGTAATATTGTGTAGGATTTTAATATGGATAACTGTAATATGTAATTATATTACGTAAATTAAAGTCACATGCATACAATATGGATAACTGTAATAACTAATTATATTAGGATATCAAATATTAAATGTTTTAGTCTTGTAGGCGGACTTATGTATAGGCTTGAAGGTGAGCGACCACAATGTGCATGTGGTAGAGGTCTTATACATCTGTATAGGGCTCGAACTCCAAAAAATGATGGTTGACAATTTTATAGGTGTCCAGCTCGAGAGGCATGACTTTTATCTTTTAGGTGTTATTTCTGTTACTGTTTCCTAATTGTATAATTTATATTTCTTGTAGTCACATATGAATGCATTTATATGGGTGGATGAGTTGCACCAAGGTGCACAAGTTAAAGAACAGGTTTAATTTGACTTGGACAGAGTCATGGCAATGATTCAAAATGAACAATGTAGACAGAAGTACATACTCTTCCTAGGTTGTGGATGTCTTACTATCATAATCATGTTTATTGTGATTGTTTTCTTCTTGCTCATTATCGTTGTTATTGAAAGATGAAGTTAGATAAACTTCAATCTTTTATAATATATGACATGTAATAGGTATTTAGTTAATTTCCTGTGTTTCATTTGGTATGTAATATATACTTAATTTTATGTATTTGGATGACCTTGCTGGTGAGAACTATAAATGCTATATTTTCAACTGCGTATTAAATGGTATAAATGTGTTTGGTTTTGCATGAGGTCAAGCCAAAAGAAAAGGTTCGATATATCTTGCTTAGTACTGTTAAATTACTTCATTTCTACCATGTGTTATTTTGTTTTTCTCTAATGTTGTTCATGTGTTTGGTTTTGCATGAAGTTATTTACACTCCAAATTTGCAACATAGCCTGAAAAAATGTTAGATATATCTTGCTTAGTACTGTTAAATTACTTCATTCCTACCATGTGTTATTTTGTTTTTCTCTAGTATTGTTCATATGTTTGGTTTTGCATGAGGTCATTTACACTCCAAATTTGCAACATAGCCTAAAAAAAGGTTAGTATATCTTGCTTAGTATTGTTAAATTACTTCATTCCTACCATGTGTTATTTTGTTTTTCTCAAATGTTGTTCATGTGTTTGGTTTTGCATTAGGTCATTTACACTCCAAATTTGCAACTTAGCTTAAAAAAAGGTTAGATATATCTTGCTTAGTACTGTTAAATTACTTCATTCCTACCATGTGTTATTTTATTTTTCTCTAATGTTGTTCATGTGTTTGATTTTGCATGAGGTCATTTACACTCCAAATTTGCAACTCAGCCTGAAAAAAGGTTAGATATATCTTGTAACTGTTGGAGTAGTTTAGGAGGAGAACGGGCAATTTTACTTGGATTTGTGGATTAATTTTGTTGGCGGTGTCCCTTGTTGAATTAATTTTGTGGGCGGTGTCCCTTGTTGAATTTATTTTGTGGGTGGTGTCCCTTGTGTTTATTGTGTTAGGTTCAATTTTGGAAATGTCCATTTTTAAGGGGAAACTATGCATGATTTTCAAAAAAAAAAAAATTGAATTTAAACTTTGATTCCAAAAAGGCATGTGGTTGATTTTTTAAACTTGAAATGGATTTTTGAAATATATAACAGTAGAAAAAATGTGAAATATATAACTGTGAAATATATAACAATTTTTCAGGCTTAGTAGAATGCAGCTGTTTCGTGGTGGAGTTGAAGGACATGGCAGTAAGTTGTGGGCAGTGGCACCAGTGTGATTTATAGGAAGCATTCTCCAGTTGCTGTAACTTCAGGAAGCTAGTGATCTCTAACTTAATCAAATGGAGGCCTATGCAAACATAAAGAAGTGTGTGTACATTTTATGGAATGAATTGTAGTGATCTTCAGTTGTGTGTACATTTTATGTAAGTATAATGAAGTGTGTGTGTACACACATACTAATTTTAAGGAATGTCTAGCTCCCTATATGTGCAAGTATATATGTGAATGGTGCAATAACAATTTATTAAGTTTGTGATGTACAAAAAAAACTTGTCGTTTGATGTCTAGCTTGTGATGTCTAGCTTCCTTGATTGCTTGCTTGCTTCTAATAATATTCCTATTTATCAATTCTAGTTATGGTTGGAGATTGTACGAAATATTCAAAAGTTGGTTATCAAAATAAATACTCAGGAAAAAGGGAAATGGTCTCATGAGTTAACAATAAAAATATTAGCACTTTGAAGGATCTCCAGCAGAAAATTTTAAACTAATCTCAGTGAAGTAAACTAATTCACAAGCTTCAATGTCCACCAAACCTTAACTCTGACCAATTCAAGAAGATCAACGTTTTGGCTTTGCTTCTTGTTAGTTCAACTACAAGGATTTCTCTCATTCATAATGAATTTATAATATATATATATATATATATATATATATATATATATATATATGAAACAAAATAAAGTTAAACATAGTGCAAGCCAAAAGAAAAAGATAAATGGAGTGCAAAGATCTCCTCTCATTAAAAGATTATTACAAAGTTAGATTTGTAGTTTGGCTGCCACTAATCATGTTTATGCCTCATAAACATCGCATATAATCTTATTTATACATGTAAATTTATTCAAAAAAAAATTTCCTAACTCTTTAATGCAGAATATATATATATATATATATATTTATTTTAACAAATTATCTCTAATTATAAAGATAAATGGACTATTACATTTAAAATTTTAATTGTATTCATATATATAATTATTCAAAACAAAAACAAAACAGTCTTTACCAAACAGGTATCCTGTTATTGATTCAGAATTTTTAACAACAAAACTAACTTCCAAACGTGTTTTGTTTTCGAATTCCTTAAAACGCATGACATTACCAAACGTGTTTTCATGTTTTTGATATACAATTATCAAAAACAAAACAGTCATTACCAAACATGGTTCCGATTACTACTAAAAACATACCAATACCAAAACGGTTATTTTCATATCATACCAAACCATAACATATAGTGTTATCGCGATCCAAACGGGCCCTAAGTGATGATAAGAATTGTAACTTTTAAAATTGTGAATAGAGATATATGTTTTTAGGTAACTAATTTTTTTAAACAATTTAATCCCTTTATATTTTTTATAAATACAATTTTGCCCCTATTACAAACAAATAACAAACAATATTGGGAGACTCTGTAACAAACGAAGATTTTAAATTATCCTAAGATTTTGCAACCACCTTCCAAATCAGATACAAAGTAATCATCATTAAGATATGTTTAACTCATTTATATTTTAGTACTCAATACAAATTCGATATCATAAACAAAATATGTGATATTTAAAAAAATAAAAAATAAATTATTGAACTCAATGGAATTTTATAATATTTAATATTAGGGAATTAACACATATTTAGTGTGAGGATAATATAGTAAAATTAACAATAAAAGTGCTTTAAGCAACATTATTACCAAACAAATTTAAAAGTACTTCAAGTATAAAAAGTACACTTTATACAATGTGTCACCAAATGCATAAATGCATTTTACTAACAAAAGTTTTATAACAACTCTACTATAACATTCTAACAGCAATCCCAAACAGGCTCTAATTTATAGATAAATTACACTCACAACCATTTATCCTCGTATACAAGTTAGTCTCTTTTTTAACAATGCTATCCTATGTGAGAAACTAAAAATATGAAAAAGATGATATTGCCTTCTAATATTTAATATATTTTAGTTACTCTACCTGTCCCAAAAAGAATGTCACTTTTAGAGAATTGTTGCGGGTCATACAATTCTCCAAAAGAGACATTTATTTTGAGACAAAGGTAGAGTATAAAAGGGATTTTTACATATAAATGTACTTATGGTCCTATATTTACAACATTGTGTAGTCAAAGTCCTATAGTTTCTAAAAAATAAAGTTGACCAAATTAATGATGTGGACATGAACTTTTATGGTTTACTATAGTTTGTTGTCCAAAATAACCTTTTCACTGTTTGAGTCAAATTACCATGCTACCCCCATTTCATTAATTCACCTAAACAAAGCCCTTTAGGCAATTTGGCTCAAACAGTGATTGACCACTGTCTCCAACAGTGGTTCACCTAACCACCAGTTAGGCTTGTGATTGCTCATAATGAAGGTCGCACCAGTGTGTGGATCAACAAAATAGTTGTTGATGATTCCATGAAAAGCAGGGTACAATCCGGTCACAATTGAGTAATGGTTTAGGAATGTTAGTATAATACCCCTAATTTTAAAGGATAGTCTCGGTAGTTTATTTTGAGGTTATTGTAATTTTGCATTCTTATGTGGTTATTTGGCTATTTGTTTGGTTCTTTTATTTGTTGTTAATTAATTGATTAATCGCAGCATTTTGTTTTATTTAATTAATTGAATTACTTGATTAATGGTGTTATTAAATGGAATTAATTGTTTTTATAGAACTTATTGCTTTCCTTTAATTGAATTAATTGTTAAATGGTTTAATTTAGTATTCATTGATTTATTATAATTGTTTAAATACGTTAGTGGGATTAAGTTAGGGTTTTGGTTTTTCTTCACCCTGTAGCTGACCTCGTTTTCTCGTCTAGTATTAAGACTAGAATTAGGGTAACCTTTTGGGCCTATAAATACATGTCTTAAGGTTTTACCTAGGGTTTTAGAACCCTATTCATGATTGTGGAGGTATAGAGAAAACAGAGAGGGCAAACAGAACGTTCGCCGGAGAATTGAGGAAGACGTCGGTGTAAGGTTTCGGATTGAGACCTAAAGGCAAGTTCTAATCCTAACTCCTTCCTTTTGGCTCATGTTCTTTGCATGTCTAACTCAAGTCCAGGAATAGAGAAAGATTAAAATCAATTTATTACGCATGTTTGCATTGTCTGTATCAATATGTGTTCATGAACTGTTAACTTCTTGTTTTACATTCTTTGTACATAATTCATGACTTAAATTGATGTCAGTTGATGAATAATGAATTTTACTAGTTCTGAAACACATGGGGAAATATTAGAATTAATCTGGTTCGCTTGGTTGAACGTCTTAAAACAGTACGTGTTCTTGATTAGTGTGATACACCCGAATTTCCAAATGCGAGTTGACCAGGCCCACGCCCGAATACCTATGGATATCAAAAACAAATTGGTAACAAACGAACACAGAGTACAAAAGAATAAATAAATTGCTGAAAAGAAACTAAAACAATAATCCAATAATTAATCCTCAGAATAAATTTCCATTGATTAATAAATCATTCTGATACAATTAATCCTCTAATATAATACAACTCGGGAATCCATACTATGTGGACCCCTAGAAAATCCAAACTGAATAATATCTTTATTTGAAAGCTGAATCATAAACGAATCTCCAAAATAGAAGCGGAAGAATGAAGTAGACTGATCCCTGCTCAGCACGAACAACCTCTACTCCTGACGAACACCTGAAAAATAATGATGGGTCAGGTCCACAAACAAGTTCTACTCTATTACAGTCCAAGCAGAGATCCGATACATGTATACATCCTATTCAACTCAACAATAGCTATATAGTCCATACATAGATATATCCACACTAAGGGACTCTCACTGGACTACAAAGGGGGTTTCAACCTGAATAGAAGGCAACATGCAAAACGCACCTGAATGGGCATGAGTACCTAAGCCTAATAGGGTATACCTCTACCATCATAGCCAGCTACTCATCCTACTGCATATATGCTCCCTAACCGTCGATCCTGAGACTCAAGCTCATATCACGGTATTATAAAAATATATTTAAAGTCCATCCTATCCCTTTTAGGTAAGTCCAGTTAGTCATTCAGCTTGTGCAGCTTCTTTGACTTAACATAAATAACAAGTAATCTAATTAGTCATTCAGCTTGTGTAACTTCTTTGACTTAATTATAAGTAGGATTTTATTCATATAATCCGTTCCCTTATTCCGATATAGGTATAATATAGTATTTTGAAACTAATCCGTCCCTAGTATGCCACCGTCCCATACCGGTGCATACAATCCATCCATCCAGCAGTTGATAAAATAAATAATGAATGCAAATATCAACTAATCCACAAAATCCATATAACTGACAAAACATGGATAAATGCTTACATCAATTAATTCCATAGCAAGCATAATAACATTGGCCAATTATCATGCTTATATTTTCAGTCCAACAATTAATGCGACAAATATTGAAATTTAAACATCAATTTAATCCTTAACAAGCATAACAAAAAATATAAGATTGGACATGCATATTTTTCTATTGATACATGATTTGAAACATATAATCACTGAACTAAAATTGCTAAAATAAATCCAAGCAATTTAATTTTCCATAGCCAAAACAAGTATGCATAAATTGTTAAGAAATTGTTTTATAACTCCGTGTTATCCAATTCCTTAAGCATATGACGTGTATTATGCATTATAGAACCTTCCAAAGTCCATTTAACCCATTTAGATTTAACTAAAATAGGTTTAAAAACAATTATAGGCAATTAAAACCAATATTCAGGTCACGGTCCAACTGAGCAGGCTGAGTTCCCAACTTAGTTGGCTGAGTTGGTGCTGAAGTCATCTTCTTCGTCTGTTCAGCCTCTGTAAACCCTAAAACTCCATAGTTAAAGCCTCTAAGCTTCAACCTAAGTCCCATACGTCCATACTAAATTATTTTAGATGTTTTAACATGCAAAGATTAAACTTAAACATCAATTATGCATTAAAAATTCCAGAATCATTCAAAACAAGAATATGAAACTAAAAATATGCAATCCTTTGTTTAAGTTCAATTAAGCATGCATAATACTTCAGTTTAATTGTTTAAGTCTCCGGGAATATCCTAGGCATGTATAGAAACACAGATCAAAGGGAGAGAGTAAGAGAAGAACTTTCCTTAGGATTTCAGATTGAAAATCCCAAATCTCCTTCTCTGTGTTCTTCCTCTGATTCCGGCGACCTTGGTTGCCATCGAACCTTTTGCTGCTCGGTCTTAACCACACGAACAGTCTCTCCTTCTTCCTCCTAGGGTTTGGCCTTGAACCCTTGGCCAAAGCCTCCTTCTTTTTCCTTACGTTTTCCTCTCTGTATCTCTCTGCCTCT